TTATCTATTAGCATAGTTTTATAGTTATACCAATTTCTTATGCTTTTATCTCTTAAACTTTACATCTGTACCACCATTACAGTGTTATGAGATTTGGTATTTGCCTGTATACTTATCTTTACCAGAGAGCTTCATATTTTCATATGCTTTCATGTCTCTAGCTAGCGTCTTTTCATCGCAACTAGAAGCATGCATACTTTCTTGTCAGGCAGGTTTAATGGTGATGAGCTCTCTCAGCTTTTGTTTATCTGAGATCTTTATTTCTTTCTCATCTCCAGATGAGATTGGGTGCATTCATGGTGGTATGGCCGTAGACTTTCTCATTTCCAAAGGGCGGCTTTGCTGGATATAGTATTGTTGGTGGCAGGTTTTTCCTTTCAGCACTTTGATGATCTCATACCACTCCCACAACAACTGTATTCTGTTGTTGTTCAATCAGTGTCTCTATAGGGATGAGGTCTAGGGCTTTCTATCCAGCCATCTTGCTGATGTTGCTCCCACCTTCTTGTCTTAAATGATTGAAATATTGGATAGTTTAAAATCATCAAAATGTTTAAAAAAAATCTCAAGTCAGTCATCAATAAAATGTTTGCACTGCTTAGAAATGACAAAAGTAAAACTCTAGAAGTATTTACTCATGAGGAGCTCTGAATAAAATGTTTTTATTATTATTTCGCCTAATAATTTCCATGAATGTTGATTTTTTATAGGCACAAAACACTGTTACACAACTCTGCTTTTATTTTTTAAAAATGTTTATCCTTTTATTTTTGAGAGAGAGAGAGAGAGAGAGATAATTCATGAACATACACATGAGTAAGGGAAGGGCAGAGAAAATTCTAAGCAGACTCCACGCTGTAAGCACAGAGCTGATGCAGGGCTCAGTCCCACGAACTGTGAGATGGTGACCTGAGCTGAAATCCAGTAGTACGCTTAACTGACTGAGCCACCAGGCACCCCCATAATTCTGCTTTTGAATAGATAGTTCGCTGCTGCTGTAGATGATATTTATATTTTTTCATGTTTATTTTTTATTTCATTTTTGAGAGAAAGAGAGAGAGAGACAGAGTGTGAGCAGGGTAGGTCAGAGAGAGAGAGACACAGAATCTGAAGCAGGCTCCAGGCTCCAAGCCGTCAGCTCAGAGCTTAATGCAGGGCTGGAACTCATGAGCTGAGAGATCATGACCTGAGCCAAAGTCAGATGCTTAACCAACTGAGCCACCCAGGCACCCCTGATATTAGTTTTTTAACTGTATTTTTGTAAAGAAAAAAAGAACACTGAATGTATTACACTTTTGATGCAATGTTGGACTTATAGTGAAATTCGTAAAAGCTGAAAATGTAAATTTCTCTATGTGTTTCAGTTGCCTCATGGGACTTAAAGGTGCAGTGTTGGTTTTCATTTTATCATTTCTACCTTGATGTGAAATGAGCAGTAATTGTAAAACTTCTCTAGATGCCCAGAGACAGACTTTTATTTAAAATGTGCACAATAAGCCAAGACCTTGAAGGATTTGAGGCCCATTAATTATTTCCTCTATTTGCGGGCAGTCTCAAATTTAAACGTCATCCAAGGAAGAACATACAGAACTATTCGTAGCTCTTTGCTGACTTTAGCATCTAGTTTAAATTATTGTCATTGAATGAAATCCTTTGTGTGCTACAGTTTCATTCAACATTATGAACATTTTATTTGCAGTAACAACAGGATTGTTCCTTTTCTAAGAGAGAAAAGAATCATCTGTGATTCTTATTTACAATTCTTGGATCATCTTTATTCTTTTGCACTCAAGCGATCTCCATGTTTTCTTTTGTAATCGGATGTATATTTAAAGCACCCTAACCCGTGGAGAAAAGACCGTCAGCAAGACTGTACATCTTTCTTGCATAGCTGTTTCTCTTCTTACTGCCATTCTTAAGAATATATGACAAGCCAGTTGAAATAAAATTTCCTGTGTTTAAAGCTAAAGTGTATCAAGAAGCACAGAATTGTGATTGCGCTCTAAAGATAAAACTTACCGCTCTACTGTGAAGGCATCTTCCTACAGAAAATGTAAGGCATTTTTATATTAGCAAGATGCCTCCTAACATGTAAGAAAATAAACATAAGATTATAATGCAGCTTGAAAGATTCTCTACATGTGCAGCAACTTGATTCTACCATGATTAATTAAAGTCCTTTACATTGTCGCTAAATGACTTCATAACTGGCTTGCAGCGAACCACTACTTGGAAGCCTCAAAATATGGTTTTGAAACTTTGTCACAGTTTATGTTAAACATAATGTTTTTATAGAGAGTAATATATCCAGTTTTGGTTTTCCCATTCTTTCTCCATAATGAATTCTATTCTATGCCTTTTTTCAATGAATTTTCAATTACGTGAACAGTATCATAGACTCATTTCCTTAAATATGTATAGTGAACATTGCGTTTTTCTTTGAGTGTTAAGTGTTGAAAAGGCTCCTGGGGAAAATATTATCTGTTCCAGAGCCTTTTCTTTCTTTTCTTCTTTTTAGTGAAAGCCTTTTAAGTATCCAGAAAAAAAAGCATATCTATTGATTTGGCCTGGTTTAGGGATAGTTTTTACTGTACCTTCGAGCAAGATGGCTTTCAAGCTTGTTTCCTGGGGCCTGCTCAGTAGAAGTCAGTGAGGAAGCCTACAAGAGGTCTTGAATAGGTGATATTTTTTTTTTAACTACTGCAAATCCCATTGTCAGATATTGTGTTATAGCAGTGAGTAATATATTTTTTTCTTTTTTTGTTTAAACATAATTGCTGTTGGTTTAGAAGAGTCCTATAGGCGGAGAAGTATTCTTCTAGCTTCTCAGGCTAGAACACTTCAATGAATATCTCCATCTCGTACTTCCTCTGTCTCTTCTATTACATCCTTTCTTCCCATATTTATTGGGTACCTATTATGTACAAAAGGATAAACTTTTGATATAGGAAACAATATGATTGATTCTCAAAAAGGCATGCTATGCATAAGACAACAGTCACTCTATGATTTTCAAGTATATGAAATTTTAGAGGCAAAACTAATCTATAGTTGCAAAAATATATGGGACACAAATATATAGAAAAGCTTTTCCTGTGCTCTCATGGAATTAAGTCCAATTTAGTAGAAAAATAAGATTGGTCTTTAAGTGTGTTAAGTACAAGTCCATGGATGAAAAACAAGTACCACAATCTAGGTACCAGAAATGCTGATAACAAAAAGGAGAAGTTTGTCTTTTTTATCAGGGATGGTAAATGAGCAGACAGGACTGTAGTCAGTCCACAGCTGTGTTTTGTTCAACCCATGTGATGGCTTCTGTTTTTCCCCTAAAGTAAATTACTTTCTGACATTTATGAATTGGGAGATTTCACATGAAAACAAATATGAATTTTTGAGCTTCTCTTGACCAGAATTTAAAGCTTCCTAAAGGCTGCTTTCCCTTACTTCCCTTCTGGCAGTGATGAGTTGAAGCTGAGTGTCTTAAGAACATCAGGCAGTCTCTGGCATTTTCCATCCATCTGGCTTCTTCATTTGTCCATGCTTTTACTTTTCACCAAAGGCATCTGAGTTGATGATCTCTGCCCTGTGCTCCTCTCTGACACCAGGTCAGCACCTGTGTTCTTCTCAAATGTCTCCTTTTAGTTTTCTTCTTGTGCCAATAAGCACATGAGAAGATCACATTATCAGACATCAGGGGCATTAGAATTAAAACCACAATGAGATACTACCACACATCCATTAGAATGATTAAAATTAGGAAGACTGACAACACAGGTAGATATGAACAACTAGAATTATCAAAAGTTGCTAGCAGGAATGTAAAATGGAATAGCATCATTTTAGAAAATAGTTGGGCAGTTTTTTATAAAATTAAACATACATTCACTGTACATGTTTGCCCACAAGGAATGAAAACATGTGTCCACACAAACACTGTTACATGGATGTTTATAGCAGCTTTATTCATAATAGCCCCAAACTAAAAACAATCCAAACTTCCATATATGGAAAAATGGATCAACACATTATGGTATGTCCATTCAGTACAATATACTCTACAACAAAAATGGAATGAACTCTTCATACATAGAATAACATATTTGATTCCCCAAAAATAATGTCAATCAAACAAAGATAGATACTGTATAAGTTGTATGTGTATAAACAAAGTAATAAATCAGTGATTGTCCAGTACCAGAGGTAAGAGGAAAGTGGCTGCAGAAAGTCACAAAGGAATTTTTTGGAGTGATAGAAATATTCTACATCTTGATCATGACGATACTTACACAGGTGTATATAGTTGTTAAAACTCACATAACAGTATACTTAAAATATGTGTATAATATTGTATGTAACTGTTACCTTAATAAAGTTGATTAAATAAAAATATAATTAAAAAAACTAAAAGGATGGGCTGTTAAAAGAGGAGGACAAACAGACAACCTAGATAGGAAATAAAACAAAGCAGCAAAGGACATGAGCATGAAGACAACAAAGTGCTAACTTGGGGCTCAAATGGATTCTTGAGAACCTTCCAGTGAAATCCCAGTTCTAATCACACCAATGGTTCCATTGCCTCCCTCAGCATTTGCTAATTCTTCTTTCATGATGATTGTCTGTTCCTATTATTTGAAATGTCATATGTCTGTCTTCCCCACTAAAAACGTGTTTTCTAACACATTACCTTGTTTATTCTTCAAAGGAACTTAGCACATCTGAATTCTGCTTTGATTATGTACTTGTTTAATGGTTTATTGTCTGTCTCCTTCCTTTAGTTAATAATCACCATGAGATAGAGACCTTTTCTAACTTGTTTATCACTAGCACCTGGCCTGGGATCTAGCTTATTGAAGACTCTCAATGACTAATCATTGAATGAATGAAAAAAGAAAATGTAGTAAGCAAATAATGTAGTAAGCAAACAAGTACCCCATGTTTGCTCTTGTTTTTCCCTCAAATTTTCTTCTCCTAAAATTCTTTTTTTAAACCTAAATTTGCAGGTACTTCTATTGTGACTGTAAAAGCTATTGCTCCTGACCCAATACAAGACAGCATTAAATATTCCATTTTTAGTGGAAACGAAGATGGGGTTTTTTCCCTGTGCTCCAACTCAGGTAATTCTTCTGTTTCCTGTAATAAGTTTATTTCCTGCTCCATTTAATGTTACTAGTAAGAAATACTGATGTGGGTGGGAGGGAGGGGAAGGGGGTGATGGGCATGGAGGAGGGCACTTGTGGGGATGAGCACTGGGTGTTATATGGAAACCAACTTGACAATAAACTATTTAAAAAAAGAATATGATAATTAAAAAAAGAAAGAAAAAATACTTCTGCAAAGGAAACTCAAAATTTGAAAGGTAGAAACAGTAGAGGAAAATAACTGAAAAGGTAAATAAGAAATAGTTTGTTTTTTTATGTTACCTGATGAGAAATTGTGAGAAATCAAGGCCATTTATTTATTTACATGTACTCGCTAAGAATCTTGTTCTTCATATTTCCAAATCAGGCAGTATCTAGCCTGCTCTTTGAATTTTCGAAGACAAATTGGTTTCTACTTGTAATTGATTCATCTTTTTGGGACAATGGGAAACTTAGTAGGGAGACCATCAATATTGAGTTTGAATTGAAAATAACCACACATGTCTAGCCGTAGGGCATTTTCACCACGGGATTCTTCTAAATCGCCACTGAATGTCAACAATGCAACAAAAAAGGACAGCTGGAAAGGTTTCTATGTGGTGGTAAAGAAATTACTTCCAAATACAGCATGTATTAAATTTAGCTTTAATAGGATCATTATTGTGTTTTAAATGAATACCAATTGATTATTTGAAACATACTTTTTGACTAACAACTACGTAGTAGATACATATCTACTGCTGCATTGTCAAACCTCAAGAAGAATGTTTTTAATAATTGCTATATTACCATACAACTGCTTTATTTAATCTGTACTACATGCACATGGGAAGAATTGAGAGGGTGTAATTTCTTAAGCAAATGCCTTCTTGTCCTGGGGAGTGTTACGACTTTTTGGTCCATACCACCTTTGGTCGGCAGCCGTTCTGAGATAGCCTGCTAGCTCTTCAGCTCTACACCCCACTGTTTGGTTCAAGGATAGTGCAGGAAGCACCTTGTCTGTTGACAAGAGGGTCATCTGTGAATATCACCAAGCCTTAATCTTCTGATAGTCTAGGTATCTTTAAGAAAAAAAAGTTTAATGTTTGTTTATTCTTGAGAGAAAGAGAGACAGAGTGTGAACAGGGGAGGAGCAGAGGAAGAGGGAGACACAGAATCCTAAGCAGGTTCCAGGCTCTGAACTAACAGTATAGAGCCCAACGTGGGGCTCGAGCTCACAAACCACGAGATCATGACCTGAGCCGAAGGCAGATGTTTAACCAACTATGCCACTAGTAGTCTAGGTGTCTTAAGTTCTGGGAAAGGAACTGAGCTTAGAACGTCTAGGAAGAAGGAGAGTAGCAGAGATTGCACATTTTCCCAGGCTACCCACATCCTTCTGCCACCTCACCTATTTTTTCTAGAGTCTCTCTTGAAAATTCAGGTAAAATACGCCTACAGTAGTCCAGAGAGGTCATCCACAGATAACTCTTTATTTTTCAATTAAATATTTATTTATGTTGAAATTTATTTCGGAATTTTACTGTGGGACAGCTACAAGATGATATGCTAAAACATCTAAAAGTGTTTAATGAGCGTGTACTTGCCACCTATCTCCTGAGAGGAGACATTAGTAGAACCTCAGGAATCCCTCTGTATCCCTTCCCTCTCACATGTCTCTTCCTTTACCCGAGGTAATCTGTCACCAGTAATCTGAATTTGGTATTGATCACTGCCTTTTTTTTTTCATTATAATTTTCCCACTGTCTTTGAATCCCTAAGCAATGTGTTATTTTACCTTTCTTTACCTTGCTTGAAACATCATCATAGGATCATGCTAACGTACTCTCTTTGATGACTTGATTTCTTTTGCTCACCATTTTTACTGTGACTTACAGTGCATAAACCATTATGCACACATTAAAGAGGAGGAGCAAAGAATGATAAGTACCTGCAACCAAGGTCATAAAATAGAGCACAATCATTATCACCAGTGCTCCTCTGAGCTATTCTCTGATTGCATCCTTTCTCTCCACTGCTCCAGGCTGATTAATGTCCCAACTTCAGGGAGAATCATTCCCTTGTGACTTACAGTAGATGCACTTACTTCTTTTTAAATGTTATATAAATGGATTCATAGCTTATGCATTTAATTGGAACTTGATTCTTTTTATTCAAAATTAGAATCCTTCATGTCAGTGTGTGCAGATGGGTTTCTTTTCTTTGCATTTTCATTTCTTTGCGGCTTTCAGTTGTAAGTCTATGTCAGAACTTATGTATCCGTTCCACTGCTGATGGACAGGGAGGTTTTCCTGTGTGGGGATACAATAACAAGTGCTGTTAGGAGCAACCTCATATGTGTCTTCTGGAACATATGTAAGGCCTTCTCTAGGCCTTGAATCAAGACTCAGACGCTTAACCAACTGAGCCACCCAGGCACCCCCGTTGTCTTTTTTTTGTTGAAAACTTTTAGTCTGTGACTTGTCTTTCACTCTCTTACTGGCACATTTTTATTTTAATTAGTTAGAATTAATCTATCTTCTACTTTATGATTTGCCCGTTTTCTAAGTGAAGAAACTTCCTTATCCTGAGATCATAAATATATTGTTACATTGTCTTTTAAAATTTGTATAGTTTTCCTGTGTTTCGTGTTTACATTGAATTGATTTTCGTGTTTTGCATGAGTTAGGGATAACTTTCCTTTTCTTTTTCTTCTTCTTTTTATAAAAAAAGATTACCAGTTATTCTGATGGCAATACCCTCATGGTCAGATGTTATTTTTCCATGACACTTTAGAGGCTCCTTGACTCCTTTGCATTCATCTTCTCATCTATCCACACACTACTACCACAGTCCCTTAATCACGTAGGCTTTCTAATGTTTTCATACCAAGGAAGTAACCTCATTCTCTTATTCTTTATGAGTATATTAGCTGTTCTTGGCCCTTTGCTCTAACATAAATCATTGTACCCCCTTGCCAAGTTTTCTCATACACACACAGACACATATGTACACAAACACACACACACACGCACAAGCCTATTGGAATTTTTTTTCCCAAGGAAAGAAGATTTATTCATAAGTCTTTAGGTGATGTAACAGCTATCCACACCTTTCGTGCACTTAACCCATGTAATCATGGCATGCACATTTGATTTTAGGTGAAACCTCACTCTACTTAACAAAGGAAATGTCCAAAACAATTGTATAGCCCCAATCTAGAATTTAAATAATTAAGTCATCAGGCCAAAGTTACCTCTTCACAAAGCCCTGTATAGCAATGTAGTATAGTTAATAATCACCTACTAAAACTTTTTTTTTTTAAACTGTAGTAACCTCTTTTTTTTTTTTAATTTTAAAAATACTTTATTTATTTCCGAGAGAGAGAGAGAGAGAGACAGCATGAGTAGGGGAAGGTCAGACAGAGAAGGAGACACAGAATCAGAAACAGATTCCAGGCTCTGAGCTAGCTGTCAGTACAGAGCCCGACACGGGGCTCGAACCCACAAGCCATGAGATCATGACCTGAGCCGAAGTCAGATGCTTAACCAACTGAGCCACCCGGGCGCCCTAGTAAACTCTTTTTTTAACTCTATTCTTTATCACTTTTAGCAAAATTTTAAGTGTACAGTACAGTATTGCTAACTGTTGGCATAGTGTTGTCTAGCAGATTTCTAGAACTTATGCATCTTGCATAACTGAAACTTTATACCCACTGAACAGCAAACCCCCATTGCTTCTCCCCCACGGCAACTGGCAGCCACAATTCTACTCCTTGCTTCCAGGAATTTGACTATTTTAGATACCTCATGTAAGTGGAATCATGCAATATTTATCTTTCTGTGACTTAACCTGATATCTGCAGCATCCATCCATGTTGTCACATACGGTGGGATTTTCTTCTTTGTTAAGACTAATATACCATTGTGTGTATAGCCTACATTTTCTTTATCCATTCATCCATCAACAGACATTTACTTAGGTTGCTAGAATTTTTTAATTGGAATTGTATTAATTTTAATATCAGTTTGGGGGAAACTTCTATCTTTATGGAATTGTCTTCTAATTCAGGGATGATATAAAATCACATCCATTTATTCCTTAATATATTTTAATAAAGTTTAAAATTTTTTATACTAGGCACAAATGGTTTTTGTTAGATTTAGTCTAAGTCCTTTATACTTTTTCTTGCTAAAGTAATAGAAAAATGATTTTTATGACAGTGCTATTAGGAATATTTAAAATTGGCTTTTATGCTTTAATTTAGTACCTAGAAACCTGTAAACTCTTACTGATTCTAATATTTTTCTAACATTCAACATACACAATCATTACCTGAAAATGACGATTTCCCCCTGTGTTCATTGGAGTTATATAGCTATTTATCTTCTTTTAGTGGTTAACTTAGCTGTTTTAACATATGTAATAGCTGTCTAACATTAATCAATATCCTGTTCCTGAATAATACAAGAGACTTATAATTCTTTATCTGCAAATATCCCTGTTTCAATTTATAAGTTTTCATGGGTTACAATTTTAGTTCTTTCAAATTAGACATGATGAATATTTTTAAACAGATTTATCTGCTTCTTTGCTAACTGTTCTTTCTTACATCTCAGACTTCCCTGCTTTCATCTTTTTTATACCCGAGTACATCCTGTAGTGAGAGTCTGTCATAGTAAACTTTCTCAGATTTTCATTGTCTAAAAATATCTTTGTTTAATTTTTATTTTTCACAGATATTTTTGCTTTTCTTAGAATTCTAAGTTCGCTGTTATTTTCTCTCATCCCATTTAAGATATCCTAGTGTCTTCTGGTTTCTACTTTTTGCCTTAATAAGTCATCTGTTGATCTAAATACCATTGATTTGTATCAGTTTTGGGGGGAACTCTAGTTGGACAAGTATTGAGCCAGACACACTCTCCTACATCTATCTTTCATATTTTTAATCTCCTTGTCCATTTCTCTTCAATCTAGAGAACTGTATTTTTTATTTC